TAACCTTGGCTGGTTGCTTTTCGGTAGAAATTGCGCGCTTCATCTATCCCGAGGAAGCTCTCTTTTCTGCAAATGAGTCCTCATGCACACGAGACCACCACTTAACATAATTTTCAGTAGCTGGAAATTTCTGAAAGCTTGATTTTGATGGAAGTAACATTTTAGATTGCGTGCGAAATCGCGTGGACAATTTCTAATATTTTGAAATCACTTCTAAGGTATCATTGCAGATATCTTCTTTCAGCTTTCGAGGAATATCTCGGTGATACCCAAATTGTCTGCTGAACCTGTGAGGACTATAAATCTCGATAATGAAACGGTTCCCATGGCATAACGTCAAGTAACTTGAATGAATAGTAACCATACACTCGAATTCTGAAAAGAATTAACTTCTCATCATCAATTAGAAGCTTTCTTTGGGGAAACTGTTTGGACAAGCGAGATAAGTCAACACCTTTATAGAATCTAAACAAATCTTGTTCCTCTAACTCCAAATGTGTCACTGACCCTTCCCGAGGTCATTCGAGGCTAGAAATTGAAATTTGGAGCAAATAAATGGGTCTTAAAGTATTCAGCTATCCACCGATACATATAACGTATCGAAAATACCGCGTTAAAATTCCCAGGTTCAGGCGAAGAAACCATATCATTCAAACCCTTGTAGATACTGGCAAGAACTAGAACTGAAAGACAAAACTTTTCGCCTTCCGCCATCAGGCTGGCAACTTTAAATACCCCAGGCCAGATCATATTATTGGGATTGGCAGGTAAAACAAATTTGCATAGCCAACACGCCAAAAATGCAGCTAAATGAGTCTTTTCTTTCACCTCTTGTTCTACCCCAAGATTGTTGAAAACCTCATCCTCTCGATCTGAAAGAGCTCTAGTTGGTGGAATCACTCTAGAAGGGTTGTAAGTTTCTTTCGGATGTTGAGTTTTGTTCATCGCTACCCTTCTCGGAGGTATCTTCTTATGCCTTATGGCACATTTAAACCAATAATCCATCCAATCAGATATTTTTATTGCACGGTCCACTTTACATTTTTTTGCAGAGCTTATAAAAGGCTAAGAATAAATATCGGCAACTGAAAGAGAGTAATAAAGTTCCATCTTTTATTACAGTAGATAGTTCGACTGCATCAAGGACAACCTTATCATAAAACTTTCCACCAAATGGGAGACCACCCAACACACGTAAATCTCAAAGGGAAATAGAAAGTTCTCTGATTGAACAATGAAGTGTATTAGTTAGGGGCATCAAGACTCAAGGAAAGCTTTGAGCACAGGTTCGTGGTGATCATATGAGAATAATGAAGCAAATATGACGGCAAATAATATTATCCCCATAAGGAAATTGTTGTGGCGACCCAGAATGTCCTCTATCCACTTAAAATATCCTTCAGTATGTGACAACTCTGCTGAAACTTTCAAAGGATTACTCCATTCTACCTCATTACCATGCACTTTATGTCCTAAGAGTGTAAATTGTTCTGGTTTATCGGCCTTTTTATGGAGTGTTGAATCTAATATCAATGCCTCTTAGATGGATATATTCTCATTAAATCCGAGGTTGCACCTTTGACCATTGGGATAGGAAATATTGAGCATCTGACAATAACCTTGGCAAATGAAAAGATGAATTGCCAATAAAAGTTGTACCCACATCTAATGTTGTTCCTTTTTCTTGAGGGTCACCTTCCCTTTAGATTATCTTCTTGAAGCATTTAAAAAACACCATGGTTAATATGCATTGGAGTTAAGAAGTCGATAGTCAAAAATACAAGAGATATGACATTGGTTAAATGTGTCTGTGTGTTTATATATATATACATACAAATAAAAATACAATCATGAAAAAGAAATAAGTGATAATCTGACGGTCATATAAAAAAATGATTATGGTTACAAAATCAAATAATGGGTATTAAAATCAAAGAAACAGTGCCCGACAGAGCTGATGGGTAAAAAATAAAAAATATGTGCCCTTGAGAGCTAATGGTTACAAAATCAAATGATGTGTATTAAAATCAAAGAAATAATGTCCAACAGAGCTAATGGGTATTTAAAAAAAAAAAAAAATTGCCCTCGTGAGCTGCTGGTTACAAAATTAAATGATGGGTATTAAAATCAAAGAAACAATGTCCGACAGAGCTGATGGGTATTAAAAAAAAAAAAAAAAAAAAATTGCCCTTATGAGTTGACGGTTACAAAATTAAATGATGGGTATTTAAATCAAAGAAATAGTGCCCGACAGAGCTGATGGGTATTAAAAAAATAATAATAAAATAAAATAAAAATGGTGCCCTTAAAAGCTAATGGGTATAAAACAAATTGTCCAAAAGGACTGATGGGTATAAAATCAAAAGATGGTGGAATTTCTCATGGAGAAGACAAATTATGGTCTGATTTGCATTGGTAGAATGCAGATTCAAAGCCACCATTCAAGGGTGTCAAACTGAGATGTCAAAACTTCAAGAATTTTGGCATACATATATGTGCATTGAAGATCAAACAGAATCAAACAATAATATATATATAGGCATACCTTTATTGATGCGACCCCGGGATGTCAACTCCGAAACTGATCTTATCCGGTCAATTACTTCTCCAGCACCAAAATGTGAACTGTGGTGGACATTAGAAATAAAATCAAAACGGGTACCTTGGCAGACCTGGAAAGTTAAGAAAAAAAAAAATAAATTCCTGCAAGAAAAATTACAGTGGCTTACCTATTACTGATTAGTGGGCACAAATACGTTCAGCCATTTCTTCAGCACTAAAGTATGAGATGTAACATTAAAGATCAAAAGTCAAAAGGGTTAAACCATGACAAATGGTGAAAAAAAAATTGCAAAGATGGCGATGTGTTACATTTCTAACAGGTGTGGTGTCTGAGAGGACTAAAAAAAGGAAGAAAAGTGAATGAATTGCATTAAAAAAAAAAGGTTGCGTGGCAGATGCGCATATAAATTTATATACATGTGCATATAAAAATTCATAGTAAAAAAGGGAACTCCCTTTCTGCTGAAGTAAAAAGAAAAAAAGAAAAGAGAAATTCAAATGTGTGCATCTAATGCAGCAGTCCATGCATGGATATCAAATTGAGGCGTTGGGAAGCCAAGCCATACGTGTACATATCATGTAAGTCCTCAAAATGGGTTTGTTTTAAACTTTGGTACTGGATCGTGAGAGAAGAAAAAGACGAGAAACGTGCCGAAGATGAAACAATGGCCATGGAGAAAGAGAAAATGAAGAAGAAGGCGAAGAAGAAGATAAGAGAAGGCAGCTAAAGACATCATCAATAGTGTGGAAACTAAGGATCAGGATGTTGAACCAGATGTGGAAGAAAAGAAGAAAAACCATTGCTTTGCACATTTGGTAGAACAACACATGTTCAGATCCACCAAAAATGACACTGTCCATGCGATTGGTGTTGATTATGCCCCTTTCTGTAAAAGTTAAGATATATAATATGAAGAGATTAATAATTTACATGATGGGTTCTAACTATAATTTGGGCTTACCATCAATTTAGTTATAGCCCACTTTGAAACATGGGCCGGTTACCCAAACAACCTAAGCCCACCCCAAAACATGGGTCATGGATCAATCTAAATTACTCAATTGACCCAATCCATTTTGATGGGCAATTTCAAATTGCTATCTAACCAGGCCCACTTAGAAATTAGGTTAGTAAAATAAAATAATAATTATTCTTAATATATATATATATATTTGAGGATATAATTATTCAAATTATAATTGTGATAATTATCCAAAGTGACTCAAAATTACTATCTTTTCCATTTATGATGTCTATAAATAGAAGCGAAGTGGGGAAGGAAAGGGATTCCAACAGAACACTGAAGCTTTGCCACATTCTACACCCATTCACCACTTAAAGCTTTTAAGATTCAACACTTTGAAACTCTGAATACAAAGGACCACGTTCTACAAGTGCCGACCCTATTCAAAGACTTTCATTCAACCGTTTGAGATTAAGCTTCTACGACTCTCAATTGAAAATCAATCCAAGTTTCTTTCATTTATCGGAGATTTGAAAAAAGTTTGTTGTAGACAATTCAACATCAAATATTGAAGCATTTGCACCGAATATTTAGGAGATCGAATCAGAGAACTTTCTTTCTTTGTAAAGGATATTATAAATAATTGTACCCCTTATCAAATATTAATAAAATTAATTATTTTTTCCACTATTTCTATTCTTTTATTGCATAGTAAGAAATTTGTGTATGCAGATGCATATGTATGCACTTATATACATTATTGGTGATAGTGTTTTTATCTTAATATATCTTATTTTGTACTTATTTATCTGAATATTATTAGGATTTGTGATTTTAAATTGAATATTATATTTTATTATCCTATATTTTTAATATTTGTGAAATAATTGAATTGCATAAATATTTAAGGATTTTTTTGTACTAATGAAAAAAATTAAAATAAAAATAAAATAATTAAAAAATGTTATGTAAATCTGTAACAAATATGTTTTATTAAATACTGTTATTATTTTCTGCTTTCAAAGTTGTGACAACAATAAGTATTAATAAGCGTCATTTTTACTTTATATTGTCACTCGAGAAAACAAAATTATGTTTCTACTTTCTTGAGGCTGCAAAAACGAAAACGCAGCATAATCCTAATGATAGCTTTTGGTTCGATGATATTACTATTGCATACTTGATGTTAATCAAATTTGTGGATTAAAATAAATTTGTTAGTAAATTTAATTGACATTTTTTCTTAAAAAGTTTAAAATATAATTATAAGAGAAATAAATGTGCATGTACAAATTTGCACTTATAATATATTTTTCTTTTTTTCTCTTATGATATTGTTAATTAAATTTATCATTAGCCCATGGCTTTGAGATTTTATTTAACCGTATAATATGTATTTATTTATTTATTTTTTTAAATCAGCAAGGCACAAAACTCATTTTTCTTCACTTATATTGCAACCGGTCCCTCCAGTTACCGAAAGCACCGTAAATTTACTCTGGGCTTATAAATACGCGAATATAATCTCCAAACCCTAGCCCGTCATCACAAACGAACAGCGGCCGACTAGTAGGGTTTTTCGAGTTCTCTCAAATCATCAACAACCATGGTGAGACCTCGAATCCGATTCTTCGACCTCACAACCCGTGTTTCATTCACTTTTCTCACATTCTGCTTCGATGATTTCGACTGAATTTTTGACATTTTCTCATGATATGAATGAATCAGGCGGATGTGGAAACAGATGTTGCTGCAGGAATCCCGAAGAAGAGAACGTTCAAGAAGTTCAGTTTCAGAGGCGTTGATTTGGACGCTCTATTGGACATGTCCACCGATGAACTCGTCAAGCTCTTTACAGCTCGTGCTCGCCGAAGGTTATACACTTATACTGTATCATTTTACATGTGTCTATCTTGTATTGAAGATAGACTAGTTATTCGTTATTAACATTTACTTATTTACATTTTTTTTTTAATTTATCAATTTGATCTTTAGGTTTCAACGTGGTTTGAAGAGGAAGCCAATGGCTCTGATTAAGAAACTGCGTAAAGCTGTGAGTGCCGCAAATGACTCGAAAATGAATGATATTTTTGCATTATTTTACACAAATTAGCTTTCCTAATACTAGAATCCCAATTTGTTAGACTATTATTTATCAAATCTTGTTCTTTCTAGAATAGTAGTAATTAGTGAAACAAATATACTTGTGCAACAAACCATCGAAGTAATCCCATCCCCAACGGTCCAAAGATGAAAGTCTTTGTAATATCCTGAACCTGCATTATTATGCTTTTTAGTCCAACCTTTTAACATTGCAAGAATTTATGGTCCTATAATATCTGAACTACAATGTGTCAGTACTTGGTCAACAGTTGCTTTGATGCTTGAGAGTCTCATTTTGTTTGCTAGGCGGCCAAAATTCTTAATAGGAATGTAGCTCTACATTTTATTGGGCCTTAATCTATACTATCATATTTGTGGGATAAGGGAATTGTGTAGTTATGCTTTCTATCCAACTGGTATTGTCGTGGCTGGTTAATATGAATATTCCAATGTAAATATGAATGGCCTATTTATCAGTAGGTGGATGTTAGGAAAATGGACATGCTTTAAGATTTTAATCACTACTAAGTGAGCTTTGGCACAAAAGACTTGGCCGTAAAGTAGACTGGCCCGTAATTCATCGACTCAGTCAATCTACAATCTTTGCTCTCCAAGACTCCAAATGATTAAGAGATATAAACTTTTCTTGTATTTTGCACATATTTTATTTGTCTTGCAGGATTGAAATCCAGGTTTAAACCAAGTTTTTGGTGCTTCAAATGCATAATGCTAGCGAAATGTCTTGCTTGAACCAAATATTGATTGCAAAATGCTTGCAGACATTATTGGCTGATATTCTGGCCAAGTAAGGGTCTAAGCTGGATTCAATTCCCATGTTTATTTCAAATCTAGTGTCCAGTTTGATGTTGAAAAACCATTTTCCCTGTTGGCAATTATTTTAACCATTTTCCCTGTTGGCAATTATTTTAAATCTCCACTTATACAATCAAGTTCCCACCTTCTGGTTTTAACACCGACGTTTCATAGAACATCTCATTCATTTGCTTCTTTTTTTTTTTTTTTTTCCCCCTTTTCAAAGATTCATTAAACGTACATTCACTAGGTTAATTATTTTTACTCCAACTACTTGTATACTTGAGAATTCTTAATGATTGTAAAGCAAAATTTTATATTATAAAGGGTGTCTTTTTTAGGTCTACATAATTTTGGTTCTTTAGACGAATTAAACTCATGACTTCTAGATAAATGTCTCATGTCCCACCAACCAAAAACAAATTCTCTAAAATTGATTATAGATTGTGTAATACTCAGAATGTTGGGGCTCTGTTTTTGCCTTTATATTATTATTTTTATATTATTTATTTTTATTATTATTTTTTTTGACAAAAAAATGACCAGTTAGATACTAATTTATTTGAATTGATCAAATTTCATGCTTGCCTAATGATATATGTTGGCTGTTGTTGATGATTGTGAAGTTGATGTACTACACATTATAAGGTAAAAGTCCTAAGTGGATTAGGCTTGGTAAAAGTCTAGGCTACCTAATGATATATAGATGACCACTTACTCCTTTAGGTTAAGGTGTTGCAATGTGCAAGCTAAGCCTGCTCTAGGGCTAAGTCTGTGGGCTGCTCGCATGGTATCCATTCTCGGTGATGTGATGTTAATATTCAGAATGTTGGGGTTCTGTTTTTGCCTTTATATTATTATTTTTATATTATTTATTTTTATTATTATTTTTTTTTGACAAAAAAATGACCAGTTAGTTACTAATTTATTTGAATTGATCAAATTTCATGCTTGCCTAATGATATATGTTGGCTGTTGTTGATGATTGTGAAGTTAATGTGCTACGCATTATAAGGTAAAAGTCCCAAGTGGATTAGGCTTGGTAAAAGTCTAGGCTACCTAATGATATATAGATGACCATTTACTCCTTGAGGTTAAGGTGTTTCAACGTGCAAGCTAAGCTTGCTCTAGGGCTAAGTCTGTGGGCTGCTCGCATGGTATCCATTCTCGGCGATGTGACATCATACTTTGTAGTACATACATGTCAATGGATGATCCGAGCATAGCTTCCATGCATGTATGGGTTTCGTTGTTCATGTTTGTATCCCGTCGCTATATCGCTATATTGTCCCGTTGCTATCGATATATTGTCCCGTTGCTATATATCGGTCCCATCGCTGTTGGTATGTTGTCTCATTGCTATCTTGTCCCTTCACTATTGCCATAATGTCCTGTCGCAATCGAGCCAAACAGTGCTGGCCAGGCCTCACTTGATGGCTGCAGGTTTGTTGGGCACACATGCTATCATATTTGCAAATCATTGGGTGTGGCTCTTGTGCAGTTGTACGTGTCGGTGTGTGGGTGGTGTTTGGGTTGCGCGTGCTTGTTTGTTCCCTGCTTGCGCAGTGAAGTCAGCCCGATCATTCCTCGTCATATTTATAGAATACTTCAATGCGTAGAACTGTAATTGTTCAACTTGTCTTGTGTTAAATGGATAGTGTGGTCTATTTATATTTAGTATGTCTAATCTGATGTGGCGAAGTAGGATTAGCAACATGTTTCCTCGGTAGTAAGAGTTATTATGTGGTGATTTAATGCAGTATGACAAGGTTTTTATTTGAGGTTATAATAATGTGGCTTGTAGATGACTTAATGTGATTAGACAGATATTGAAATGGTCAACTTCTTCCAAACATCCTTCTGTGTTAAGCATAGTGTTATATGATAATGATGTCCCATTGTCTTTCATGCGTGAAGTAGTCTTTCTTCTTTGTTCTAGGTTTTGAGATATGTGCAAACCTCAAGGAACCTTGAACTTATGCTGCCAAGTTAAGTGCCTCGTAGGATCTCATATAATTGTTGTTCATGACCTACACTAGGCTTGTAAAGGCCTCCGGGGTTTAATTATTTTCTAGCGAGGTAATTCATAAAGAGGAGTTCTTAATTGTCTTCAATTAAGCTTGTTTGTAGAGAGGAGGTTCTCAAAATGTCTTAAACTCTTCAACGAGTCTTAGCTGTGGAGAAGAAGCCTTAGTAACGACCTTAATGGATGGCTGAAATTAGGGAAAGAGGCATACATGAGAAGAGGTGCCTGCAACGTGGTGTATGTGTGAAGAGGTGCTAACAACGAGGTGGAGAATAAGTCCTCATAATATGAGAAGTTTTGGTCTCATTTGAGATTAAGAGTGCTTAAAACGGCGATGGTGAGTTCTGTTTTCTACCGTAATTGTAAAAATAAGTTGGCTGGGTGCCATCTGTGGTGAGAAATGGATTGCAAAGGTGGGGAAGAGTGGGCTTGGCAGTTACCAATTCCATTGAGGAGAGTAGCCATGTGACTTGAAATAAAATGCCTATAGAAGGCAATACTTACATAAGACAATCAGAAGATATAAACTTTAAACCTATTGAAAAGACAGGTGAATTTGCAAAAATGATAATTCCAGTTGAAGACACTATAACACTTTGAGGACAAGGGGATCCAAGTCCCATGAGATATTCTAGCTAAGTAATTGTCGTAACAAGTCCGCAAATTATAGAGATTGTGAGGTATAAGTTTTCTTGATGCTGAGGACTCCTTGAAATCCTCCTAAAATGAATCTTAAATCTACCCATGATGATTAACTGCCTTGCCACTAACGTGACAAGGGTTGAAGTTAAAATAATTGAGGATGAGATGGGAAAAAAACTTGATGTCTTTTATAATATTTTTTATAGTTACTATTGTAGTGCTTAATTAAACATACTGCTTTCCTTGTTATCTCCATGGTTATTATGCAAATTCTCCAAGCTTTGGTCTGTTATATAATTAAAAAGGCGTAGAAAATTGTTTTCTCAAGGTCAAGTTATATAGAATGGAAATCCATGAAGCTATGATACCCCTCATTGATAAAATTGCCGTATAAAATCTGGTCTTCTGATTAGAAAAGCTTGTTCCAGAACCCTGCTTGGAATCTTGTGTTATTGAGTTATTTGGAATTATAGGGTTGTAATTTATGTGAATGGCCATGCAGGTTCTTTCTCCACTTTGATTTAGTTTGTTGAAGGTGGTTTTAATACTTATTTTTGCAATAAATGGTGCAAATAACTCTCTTTAAAGTTGAGCATTAGTGACTACAGACTGTCCTTGTTGTATGCTTGGGGAGCAACAAAAATCATTTTAAAACTACTGCTCAAGAAGAAAGGATCATATTAATTACTGTCGATACGTGAGGGTTCAGTTGTTCTATCTACGATTCAAACTTTAGGAACATCTATTAGGAAATTTTGTTTGAGCTATTCGATCCATGAAGTGTGGTTTGTACTAGTCAAAAAAAATAAAGAACAATACTTTGGTTCTCACTAGTGAATATGTATACTATCTGACCACTGATGTGGACCAATAATAAATGGACATGTCTTATTTTAATTATCATATCAGAGATGGTAATCAAATCACCATCTCAGAATTGGTAAGTGAATATTTATCCACCATCTTTGATTTAGTAATTAAAGATAATATATCCAATTGTTATTGGTCCACATCATTAGTCGGTACGGTGTTCATCCTCACTGCTGAGGACCTATAAGTATTGTCCAAAAATAAAATAAAATTGAAGTGTGTGGTTTTGCAGTTATAGATGTTATACGTATTTTCTCTTTTAAGGTTGGGGTGAATGTCCTGAAGTTGTGCAAGGATATGCTTATTTTCGCTAAGTTATCTGTTCCGTCTATGTCTGATTGTGTGTGGTTTGCAGTTGAGGAAGTACTGTTGATAGCTGAAACCTGATAAAGTGATATGCTTTATTCGCTAAACATGTATAGATTTTATGTCAGCAAAGTCTGTCTGATTGAGTTATGAACGTGGAACATTCTTGTATCATCATGCGATGTCTAATATATGTGGATACTTGGTCTTTCATACTGTATCCAAAATGGTGTCATAAAACAAAAAAAATTCCCTATTTTATGCACAGATTTCATATACCTATCAGTCAAGGCATCATATGTAGGTTGTTTGGTGAACTTTGTTTTGTGGACTAGCTTCTCTGCATGCATTTTTTTTTATACAAGAATGTTGCCTTAACTAACTAATGTCATCATTTTCTATAATAAGATGGATGATAATGTGCATCGCAAAAGGCATTGCGAAAGGTCACAGTCAATAGATCTTCTATTTTATATGGGAAAAAGTGCTGGGTTATAAGAAATGATCTTACAATGTGATGATGACACATATTCTCGTGTAGGCATTGCTTCCATTGATAATATGTATATGATATAGATAATGAACATAACCATTGTTGTAATGTTAGTTTTTCTGTTGTCTGTGGAACAGAAACGTGAAGCCCCACCAGGCGAAAAACCAGAGCCAGTTAAGACTCACCTCCGCAACATGATCATAGTTCCTGAAATGATTGGCAGCATTATTGGGGTTTACAATGGCAAGACCTTCAATCAGGTTGAGATCAAGCCTGAAATGATCGGCCATTACCTAGCTGAATTCTCAATCTCTTACAAGCCCGTGAAGCATGGTAGGCCTGGTATTGGTGCCACCCACTCCTCCAGGTTCATTCCTCTCAAGTGATATATTTTGCGGTCGCCTATAATAGCTTCCTGCAAGAGCAGCTTATTATTCTGTTGGAGGATGAGCAGCGCCCTATATCAAGACTGAGTTTTGTTTTCTTATATTAGTACTCATCATGTTCTCTTTATGGTTCGGCTATTCTGAAGAAAAAAACATCAATGAACTGGTTTGTTGTGAACTTTTATTTTTTGCAAATGAATTAGCAGGCTATTTTTTTCAGTATATTTGTTTCTGTCATTACTGCCTCTTTCTCACCATACAACTAAAAAGGGCTTTGGATGCTGGCCGTATTGACTAATAGCGTCGTTTGTTTTTTTTTTTTCACTTGCCACATTCCGACGGGATAAGTTTGAAAGCGGAAACGTGTGGACTGTTTTGTTACATAGTTTTTCTCCCCATTTTTATAGTCATGCGAAAGTAAAGTGGTCGTCTCCTCGTGTATTAGGGATGTTTGGTTATTTCGGCTGCGTGATAAGAAACAGGGGACTTTTCTGGCACCTGCTTTTCCATTTGATAAAGTCTTGGGAAAGTATTGTGGTTGTTTCCTCCGAAATGGTTAAGGACGAATTAAACGCATGGACCCGCTGCACCTAGTTCTCCACATGAAGTTGTGTTTTTTTGATGTCTTTTCTCCAACGCGTGAATCTCGATCGTTCTGTGATGTGAATTCGTTTGCGGGTGATATTTTTGTTGACTTTGGTGGTTTATCTCGAAGAGAGCATGTGTTATTGATGAGATTATGCTTCCAGTTTGATTATTGTTAGTAAATTTTCCGAATTTATCAAAATGATTATTTCAGGTTGGACGTCATTATTATTTTTTTTTGTTTCTTTTTTTCATTGACAAGAAACTTACCTACATTATTTGCACCTCTCACTTTGCTCTTTTGGAGACTCCACTTTGAAAAGTAGAGGAGATATGTAACAGGTGGATGCTTGCTTATTTATTTAAAAGCTTAAGTTGTTACATATCCCACCCACTTGTAACATTTTTTCCCACCTGGACCCGTGCAACGCCTTCGTTGCGATCGGGCCACTCTGCATACCCAGAGTGAAGATCCGGAAGCCTTCGGGTGGGGCGCTTGGCGTGACACTGGATCAAAAGACCGGGTCTAGTTCTGATATCAACTGTAATGGTTGGATCCTTACCCATTTATTCAAAAGCTTAAGCTATTGGGTAGTACTGATGCATACTTGCAACATTCTTCCTCACCTGAATCCGCGGAACGCTCTTATTGCGATCGGACCACCCTGTATAGCTAGAGTGAAGATTCGGACGCCACCGGGTGGGATGCCGAATCAAAGACTGGTCTGGTTTTGATATCAACTGTAATGGTTGGGTGCTTGCCCATTTATTTAAAAGTTTAAGCTGTTTTATAGTGCTGCATACCCATTCATTTATATACATTTTAATTCTTATCCAAATCTAATAAGTCCACTTATAATAAGATACTACATTTTTATAAGTTCTATCAAAGTAAGCATTTATGTGTGAATCAACGATCCATTGATTGCACATTGTTTTGTCACACACCTTGTCTGGCTTACCAGACTTGAAGTCGTCGCTGAAACATGTGTTATCAAAACAACTGTCACGTATCTTTCTGTTGCTAGAGAAAGTCGTCTTCGCATTTCGGAAACAACACTTATTATCACTTTGGGGAACAAAAGTCATAGGAGCCAGTTCAAATATTATGAACCCGACCAGTCGTAATTTGGGGAGCAGATAGTATCTTTCGGAACACCTCCCATTCTACATTAATAATGACGGGGATGGCAATATAACGCATTGGACGAGGCCCTACTTTTTTTGTTGGAATTAGAAATTTCACTCCCATTCTACATTAATAATGACGGGAATGGCAACAAGACGGATTGGATGAGGTACTTTTTTTCCGTTGGGATGACAATATGATGAATTGGATGAGACCCTTTTTTTCCGTTGGAATTAGAAATTTTATAAATTCAACTACTACAGTGAGAGGAAACTCTAATTCCCTTTTTACATATTTACACTTCATATACATTTGTATATGTATATATATATATATATACACACACACAAATTGGAAGAGAAAGGCTTGTGTCAACACAAATGAGAAACCTTCATATCTTGCGCTCAAGACTTTATGCCAGGCTCTTCTAATTTCCAACTCCACGTCTAATGGTGTATTAGCACGTTTTGAGAAGGAAAAAAAAAAAAAAATGCATAAATTACACGGTCGCGTTGTCTATATTAAAGTCATCTCACTGTAAATAAATAATAGAAAATTGATATTGTAATTTAACCAAATGAAATTAAAAGAAAGAATATAAAAATTTAATTGATACGTGATTTACTGTAATTAAATTTTGGTAAAAAAAAAAAAAAAAAACCTTTCAGACTTTATAATTTTTATACAATTTTCTTATAAACAGTTAGATGCAGAGTTAATGATAAGTGTCATAAGATATGTTAACATTATTAGTTAATAAAATTCATCCTCATCTTTTTTTCATACGCCCCTACATGATTAACAACGTCCATATCCATTCCAAAAGGGTGGGATATTTTTTTTTTTTTTTTTTTTTTTATTGTTATTTTTTTTTTTTTGTGACTTGAATCATTGATCTTTTACTTTGAAAGATGAAGACATACTATCAAGTTATAAGGTCATTGATGAGATAGGTGAAATTGTCATTAATCATTGTCTTATTTATATTATTTTACCTTGGCATATATTGAAAATATGAATGATACCTTACAATTTAAATTATCTTTTAAATATACCACTTTACCGTTATTTTTGACATTGATAATTTGAATAAGTCCAAAAATAAAAAATAAAAAAATCATCCAAGAAGTATCAGGATTCATATGTTTCTTGAGAGGCATACCACAGTTGCAATGCCCATGGTACATGTGTGGCATTATTGTAGTTTGTAATAGCATTTTCAAATTTCAATGTAAAACGTGAGTTGGGTTTAAACCATCCGAGACAAGTTAATTTTACCCTAGTGATATATATATATAAAAGATCAAATATTTAAGGGTACAGTATGTAAAGTATTTTTTATAAATACTTTTATTTAATAGATTTTTCTTTCTATACATCTTTACATCTCTTCTTTCCTTTCTTTACACGCGAGGATATGAATCATTATTTGGAAATCATGCACCAGAAGTCCGAAACGATACTGTTTCAATATGTGAGGTTCATAATTCAAAACTACACCGTTTTTACAAGTGAGAGGAGTACCGGATCCCGGTTCATTGCTAGAAAGTAATATAACAATAGCAGTGTAGTTTTCAAAATACGAAAAATTATTCGTCGCAACAATTGCAGTGTGTGTCACGGACGATTATAAACACTTTACCAAAATAATACGGTACCTAAAAAGGCATGTCCTCAGAAGTTTGATTTGGTAGTTGTGGGTCACACAGACTCACGACTTAACAGAAGACGAGCGCACCTTTCACACTATGCTGCTATGAATGCTATCGTAAACCGCGTGCCGTCCTTTGTTTTTGTGGTGGGCTTGCTTTGACGGCCTACTGGGCTTTTAGTTCAGCCGAAACAATAATAGGACTCGAAAAGTGGGCCAGTCATGCCTTTTGTCGGGTTTCGAGTGGGTCCCACCTGAATCAATCGCATCATCTTTAACCGCCGGCGCACTGATACACGTGCTCGTACTATTTTATACCAAACACGCCTTTGTTTCTTCTACCACTCTCAGACTTTTTGCTATTGTGCGCCAGGCCTCGTTTAATAGTTCTCACTTACGCGTCGAATTTTAGTGTCTCTGGTTTTGTCATAATTATACCTATTAATACTCGCCTTCCGTCCTGTAATATTTGTTACAATTATCAAAATATAACATTTATTATAAAATAAAAGAAGTAATTTGTAATATTTTAAAATATTATATAAAATTATATAATTTAAATTTCACGATTTTTAAAACATAATACTTATTATGGAATGAAAAGAATAATTCACAACGTTTTAAAATATTATATAAAAATACTGCTTAAAAGAATTATTATTCCATCTTAAAATATGGCAATAAGTTAAATTTTCACTGATCATATTTTTATAAAATTAGAGGTTAAATAGTTTTCTTTATCTAAAGAATGATATCTGAATTTGAGATATTCTTCCCCTTTTTTCCTTTTTATAATGGACCATTTTAATGTGAATAACGTAATAATGATATAACCATATTACGTTTTTGTACTAAATGTAATGATTTGAAAAACAGCAAATGACAAGACCGGACTTAATGATAGTCTTAATAAGCGTTCACATGGACGTGCCAGTATCACACCAAATATTACTGTCAAAGTACTTGAGTAGTAGAATTTCTTTCGTCTTTAAAAAATAGAATTTTTTTTTTTTAATCATTCAAGGGCTCAAAGGCTAAAATGAAGATGACAGTATAGAGACATAAAGTTAAATTAAAAAATATATATAAATCTTGAAACAAAATAAATAAATGAAGAACAGGTTCCAGATTTGTAGGGAAAACAAAACCTAAAACTTGTAAACGGAACCATCATAAGAAAAAGTAGCAAACTGGAGAGACAGAAAAGTCTGGCTATCAGCACGGCAATCGTTTCAAAACTACAACCATAAAACGCTCCGACACACAAAATTCTGCACAAGATTCAATTAAGGAAAAAATGATCAATTCTAAGTAGGAAAAAATCCAAAAACCCAAAACCAGCCTACATCAAAGATCTAACAGGAGAAAAACAACATATCTGCCCAGCTGAGCCGAAAACGAAACAAACAAGAGTAGATCTAGACGAACAAGAACAAGAACAAGAACAAGAACAAAAACAAAAACTGTTGTAAAAAATAGAATTGAAAGTTCCAATTTTATTTCAGAAAAAGTAATGAACTTGAATATCTTAACTTTATAAGAAAAATAAAAATAATAAAACAAAAAATAAATCTTTTAAAGGAAATAAATCTCTAGTATCTTTCGCCTTTATGGAAGCATTGTTGTTCCCCAATGGATCTCTTGATTGTTGAAAAGGTTTTCCAAAAATGGTATATAAGGTCTACTTAATAAAACTTACAAGTAATCTAGATGTAATGATGTGTTTGTTATTTCAATTATTATAAGGAAAATGATATTATTGATGATTTTAATATCTGGACTTAAAATTGACAGAGATAAAAGTATGATTGTTATTTCAAAACTTCAATTTAAATTGGTATCATTATTACTCTTATTTGTTTCAATTAAATAGTCTATTTAAGAATTTGATTTGTACAAAATTTAAAACAAAAACTATAATATTTTACAATTTTTTTTTTATTTTTTAGAGTCACATATATCATTAATTTTGATCATTATAGTAATGAACAAATACCTATCAAAATAATAGATGAATATTCATGATAAAAAACACAATCTTTTATATAAGACATAATCTGTTATATATAATAAGAGATACCTAATCTAATCAGTAATTATACATAAGAGAAACAATCTTAAGTATCTCAACAGTTCTTAGAGAGATACAATATATATATATATATATATATATATATATATATATATAACACATATATAATTTGACATACATGGTTATTGAAACTTTAATTTTCAATAAAGATATTATATTAAAATGAAACCTAAAAAAAAATAAAACACGTCAATATTGTTTCAAATCCAGCTTGATGCAATAATTCACCAATCTAAGTATGAAGTGGTATATTGTTTTTTAATAGGGTTAGATCATACCATTCTAAAATAGTGTCTATTTTCATTTTTTTTTTTTTTTTAAAACAAGGAATTAAGTTACTCTGTCCACTAATTTATTTGCCTCTTCCTACCGAAAGTTTTTGAAGTCTTGTTTGTACGGAGTAAATGGTAAATGAATATATATATATATATATATATATAGATAGATAGATTGATAGATAAAGGGTCGTCATGGCATTTTCAAAGCTAGCGACCAAAAAAGCCAAACACCATCATCCTCCATTAACACAAATTCCCATTCAGACCTAACACCCATCAATCCCATTTACTTGTTCAATTAATTCTTTTCCCCTCCTCCCACCAATTTTTCCCTTTTTACCGGTGGGTATAATTAATTGTTTGAGAAACAACTTTGTACTTAAAATTATTTTGTGTGATTTAGGTATGATTCACAATGAATGTTAAAATTGTTACCATAATCACACCATTAATGACAAATAGATTGGTTTAGTATTTAAAGCCCATCAATGTGATTCAACTTCTTTGGAATGGTTGCGTGAAAAGGAAAAAAATTGTGTTAACCATGCCATCCCCATTGTTGAATATTGACATTCCTTCTAATTCAGAGTAGTCTATAGATTGTGATTGAAGCTTTGACTGAGTCAACCAATCATAATTACTTTTCTTCACTCTCTTAGAAGGAACAAATACAAATGATATATATATATAAATATAACCAAATGTAGTACACGTAACATAAGGGTATGTTTGTCATTTAAGGTAAGAAACAGACACATTAGTGACGCACATTGGTGCGTGTACCATCTCTCATTCTCGTCAAGCCCCCATTAGTTGAGATGTTATGATATGTGTTCACAATATCACAGAGATCTTTCATTTTCGTTAGTTAAGATAGGTGTATATTTATTTAAAACTTTTGAGAAATTCGTTATATTGATGAAATGTTATTATTAATTAATAAAATATTGACACGTGTTATTTGATTTTTTTTTTTTTATATAAAATATATAGTAATTGATTGATAGTACGATAAATGATAGAGTGATTGTGTGTATGAGTCACGCGAGAGGCGTCCTAAAGAGATCATGATGAGTTGTATTATTATTCTAGTATAGGCATGCATTTAATTCATTAAAGCGGCAAATCAAATAATTTATGAAAAAAAGAAAAAGAAAATGAGAAAGAAAATAAAAAGCTCAAAGCTGTCGGTGTTATGAAGACAGTGACAATTGACAAACAATTCCTCTACTATATATACCCCCTAACCATATCTCCATTTCTCTCCAAAAACCAATGGACGTCGAAACACTCTACATACGCAAGAACGCCGCCATCAGCGGCGGCTCGCAGGAAGATCTTCCGCCGGTCCCGGCGGCAACGGCGGGGAAGAAGGAGTCGCACTTTCGAGGCGTGCGGAAGCGTCCTTGGGGCAGGTTTGCGGCGGAGATTCGAGATCCCTGGAAGAAAACTCGGCGGTGGCTCGGCACCTTCGACACGGCGGAGGAGGCCGCGAGAGCCTACGACGACGCCGCCAGAAGCCTCCGCGGACCGAAGGCCAAGACTAACTTCTGTCACGAAGGCAACGCTGCTGCATCGCTGCCTCCGTTGCCGCCAGCTGTCAACCGTGAAGATTTTCCGAAGAAGTTGCCGCATTGGTACTCGGAGGCGGTTTTTCTGTCTGATGGAGGCGGTCGGAGTCCTTTCGGTTCCGGCGCGTCGCCGGCGACGGCTGTAGGAGTGGTGGTGAATGAGCAAGGGAAGAAGATGAGAACTGAGAAGAAGCCCTTTTTGTTCGATCTGAATCTGCCAGCGCCGCTGTTCTGAACCGCCGGTCACGATTTTTTTTATTTGAGTTCTTTTTTGGCCGTAGAAGTCACCGGAGAAATAGTAATCTCTGTTCACGGTGTTTGATGGTGTTGGAGCTCTTTACCAAGTTTACCCTTTTGGCTAGTTATATATTACGGTTATTACCTACTTATCTATGTATTGTACAGTCGATTAGCGAACTTGATACGCAAGTAGTGGCATGTTTGGTTATTGCTTTAGTGGTATCTATGTATTGAATGATTCCTAGTCAAGCGAGTTGTTGTTACTGACTCGGTTTCCACTCAATTTGGGTTCAGAGAAATCTCATTAATCAAATTAGTTAAATCAGTTACAGTTAAAAGCGTTATAAAATAATTTATCCAGCATAGTTCTTTGTGCTTTTTAGGTCACTAATCGAATTTTTTTCTCCAACTTCGTGTAATTTGTTATTATGAAGTTTTTCATTATATTGGCTTATTGGTATAGGTTGATCCACGTCAAATCACTCTAAATGGTAAAGATTTCGGCCTAACAGATTGGTTTTTTATTTGAATCCATCTAATTATTCGAATATAAATTGAAAAATAAAAAAAATCAATGATTGATAATAATCTGAATCCAAAATTGTAATGGAACTCAATTAAATATATATATATATTACATTACAATATACTATATATCAATGTTATATATATTAGTTATATACTACTAAATTTATATATATTAATTATTTATCATTATATTCATTTGGTTGCATAATTATATTATGTAGCTTTTTATATATTATTTCATCTAACTTTATAAATTATACACGTCAGTAAACAAGATTTTAATCTTGTTTATATATATTAATTATTTATCATTATATTCATTTGGTTGCATAATTATATTATGTAGCTTTCTATATATTATTTCATCTAACTTTATAAATTATACACGTCAGTAAACAAGATTTTAATTTCAGAATCTAAATAAGATATAGATTGAGACATTAAGTCCGAGAATATGTTAGTGATTCGAATTCGATAATTCATTTGCTTAACAAATTATATATAAATTTGATCTATCCGATCCTAATCCGATCTATTAACAGTTGAATTTTGGGCCAAAGAACAAAGTACTTATTAGTTGGAATCAACGGTCTCTGGATCATATAAAAATTATTAAATTTTAACGCTATTATATAATAATTGTTAGATTTTAGCGAGAGTCCCTATAATTATTATATTTTAATACCGTAATTGTCTTTCTCTAATTCTTGAATTACATTTCATTCTTCTCTTGCCTCCATTAGTTTTAATTTTTTTTTAATGCAAGAAAAGAGAGAATATTAATCAAAAGTCATAAACATTACAAGCCAAAGTTTTAGTTCTTTTTTTATGCAAGAAAATAGAGAGATTATAAATCTAAAGTCATGAACATTACAAGCCAGAATTTCTCTTCTAAATGACATTGATAACTCTATCTGCTCTACAGATGAAAAGGAATAATATTTATAACATACTCTATAAATATATTTACACTATATTATGTACTACTTATAAAGTGTTAATTAAATTGCATAATAATATAATTTTTTTGAAAGGTAATAATATCACTCACTTTCTTTCTTTTGTAACAATCATTTTCTTTCATACAAACCTTGTTACCCAAAAAAAAAAAAAAAAAAAACAAAAAATCTATTTTTTCTGACAGAGAAATCATTTAAAATATTTTATATTACAAACAAACGAGTGTGTTAGAATGTAGACCATGTTGGCAGCAAAGCAGGCGAAGCAGAGGCATGGGTGAGTCGAATCGACTTTTGTCTGCTTATGTGATAACGCGGCGCAAGAACTCTAATGCGAGCGAGTGCGAGTGCGAGTGCGAGTGCGAGGCGAGTGTGTGTGCGTGTGGGTACGAACTACCAAGATATTCCCGCCGGCACACGCTATACGTCTATCTTTTCATACTACCTTTTTGTATTTGGTGTGTCTGCTCAACTTGTCGTTACTCTTTTGACTGTCTTGGCTGCTTGTTTTCTTTCCACGTTATTTCCGGGAATGAATGTGTCGTGTCTCAAACACACACTTTCTTTATAATACACACACACACATAATACGCACACATATATATAAATAACCCATAATGAAATAACAAATCATGTTCGCAGGTCAGAACCTATCATATACTCGTGTTGATTTAATTGTATTATATTAAACAGCTTAATTCGATTATAACCTATTTAATAATCGTATTTGAAATTCATCAAAGCAAATAACTTTTGTCCCATCAATATTCAACATGCATAAAGTGACTAAGGTAAAAGACAATTGAGTGAGTATGATTGTATAAAGGTCTAAGTTTGTCATGTCAAGTATGGGTAAACCTAAAATGTCACTTTTGTGTCGTTTCAAGGATCGCTTATCCTGTAATTTCCTAATACTAATGGATTTTTTATGTGTAAGTTTTCATTTATGTGGTGTGCTTTGTAATATCCTTAATTTTAAAATGATAGTCTCGGTTTTTTATTTGATGGTTTTATTACATTTTTAAATTCATTATTTGATTATTTGACTATTTGTTTAATTGTTAAATTGTGTAATTGAATTATTTATTTTAATTAAACTTATATGCTTATATAGTATTTGAAGTAATTGTTTATTTAATTTATTAAATAAGTGTGTCTGCTTATATGAGATTATTTGTAGATTAAACGTGTTTAGTTTGATTTTTATTTTTAAAAAGGATTTTGGCATAGATAGTAGTAATGGACCAACAATTAGGTTACATGAACTACTTGGATAGGAGATTCAATGGGTATGGTTTTATCCATGAATAGTTATACATATATATATAGATATATATGTATATAAGTGTGATGTTGCTGAATTTTACCATTTCCCCTTTTTCCGGAGGTTTTGTTGTGCAAGGGCATTTTCGTCTTTTGTCGTTTTGCGAATCGGACACTGTAAAGTGTGCCTGTTGTGTCAGAGAGTTGTTTGGGGCATTTCATGGAGTCCAGGACTCTTTGAAATGTAAGGGTGACCATTTTCACATTTTTTAATTTTTCGGGCCGGACGACTCTGTGTGGGACCCGCTACTGGAACTGTTGCTTACGGGGTTTTTGTTTGGGTCCATTTGCATCATATCAATTTTATTAAATGTATATTATGTGGTTGCAAATTAATATGTATATGTGTGTATACATATGTGTGTAGAGTAAATTAAAGATAAAAGAAAAAGGAAAAATAAATAAATAAATAAATAGATCTAAAAGGAGGTGGGACCCACCATTAGGCCATTTAAGGCCTTGAGACCACAAGTCTTTCATTTCTCTCATCTCTCCCGCTGGATGCTCTCTTCCTTCTCTTTATTGATTTTTTTCTTTTTCTTTGAGCTTTAATTTTGCTCCTCCATTTTTTGGCCGATTGGTCGGGATTCCGGTCTTGGTTCCTGACAGAAAATGTTTCTCTCGTTATTCTCTATGACATAGTCAAAGGATTTAATTTTCTGAGGAGTGGTGATTATTTTATGAATTTTTGAAGTTTTTGAATTTAAGACTTCGGAGGGGGTTTTAAGCCACCTAAAGTCAGATTCCGGAGCTGACCCTTTGGAACAGTAGAATCTCCTCATCGACGGCTACGTTCCCACCTAACAGTTTTCCATTCTGCCATCGTTGACCGGCGTTGACTTTTGTTGACCGACGTTGACTTTTCCGGTCGTGGATATATTTTGGCTACTTTTGAGGTATGGGTGCTCTAATTCACAATTTCTTAGGTTTTATGTGAATTTTCCTTCTTAAATTGACTATAAGCATGTTTAATTTCAATTATTTTGACTATATGATTGTGGTTGATTATATGTAAAGTGGTGGACGTATGCTATGTGATAAATGAGTTTGTGAATTTAGTTACATCCTTGTAGTGAAGAAGCATACTTAGAAATGACAAGTTGTTTACTTTATGTATTTCAATTGTCATGAAAATTTGATGTCATAATCGTAGAAATAAATGTTTAAAATATTTTTTTACAAGTTGTGATTATGATATGGGTAAAATATATGGAATATAATTGTTGAATTTGACATTTAGAATCATGAAACATTTATGCATCCATTGGGAAAGAAAAAGGGAAAAAATATAATTTTTTAAAAAAAACCAATGAAATTGTTTTGGGGAAAAGTTTTTGAAAATTGTTTGTGAAAACCCGGACGCCTAGGAGGCGCCTAGTGGTCTGTGGTGTTAGTGTGATCTAGAGAGGGGACTAGGGAGAGACCCTAGTGTGGTTGAGCTACCCAGGCCGGATGCGACGTCTTGGAGGTGCCTTGTGGTCGTGGAGGGTTAGCCAATCCCCCTTTCGTGACGCCTTGGAGGTGCCTTGGGTCGGATTACATTAACGGTTTGGAAGTTGAAACGGTATGGTTTCAGAAACGGGGAGTGACATTGCATGGCATGACACATCATTGGCATACGTGGTGCATTTGGTAATTGGTTGATATATGTATGTTTGTTGATGATACAGTGGTTTTACTTGACTCCCGAGATATGATCCCGTTCTCTTGCTTTCTATTCTCTATGTGGATTCACGGGGTCATAAGAGGTGTGTCTTAGACACTTCCTACTGAGCGTTTAGCTCACCCTATCATTTTAATATTTTTCAGGTTACGGGAAGGAAGTGGCGGACGACGTTCCTCCATAGGTTTTGATGGGTTAGTAGACTGTTTGACACATTTTGTAGTTATGGTCTCATTTTATTTATTATTTTTATTATTTATAAACTGGGATGACACGTATATTATGTATTGATATGGAAAAGGACGGTAACATTTTTAGTTGACCTCGGGTTTGAGTAAGGACCCGGTTAACAATTCGGACCCTCGGGTTCGGGTCGTTACAAATTTGGTATCAGAGCAATGGTTCGAAAACCATTAGGATGACGGGTAGAGGCCTACCTAGGGTTGTGTGGGAGGTCATTTGCATTATTTATGTGACTATTTTCTATAGTGTTTTGTTATTTGAAAAGGATGCTTAACTGTCTACTTGTTTACATGTTTATGTGTTTACGGTTTTGAAAGACATGCTTCTTTGCTATGTGTTTGCACGTTTATATGCTAAAGTTTATGTTACATGGCCGAATAATTAGATGATATAACCGTGTAAATGAAATGTGAAAGAAAAGAAAAGCATGTTGATTGTGTATGAGGATTATGGTGACGAAATGTGGTAGGCACGATGTATGCAGCTCTAATTTAAATATTAATGTGATGAGTAATAAGCACGGTATTTTGATGGTTATTAGGCATGGTTATGCAAGTATTTTAAAATAAATAAATAAATTTAAATGATGGGGTATGATTGTATCATGGTATGGGATGTGGTTATTATACATATTTGTATACATGTATATGAGTATGCGGTTGAGCATGGATGGTT